AGGTTGAACCATTGTTAGTGTGATGGACTGGTTGGGATGCACAAACAGAACAATGTTTTTATAGCACCAGCCATGCACAATATTTATACTTTTCAGAGGATTCAACCTACAAATCGCTTACTATGAATTTGTAAAACTCATTGCACATTAAGCAGAGATAGGAGAAAATACAGTACCGTTCAGAAGTGTGTGTGTGTGTTTTAAAGACATTAATACTTTTATTCAGGAAAGACGCATTATAATGATCAAAAGTGACAGTAAAGACATTTACAATGTTACAAAGATTTATATTTCAAATACTATACATGCTGTTCTTTTGAACTTCTATTCATTAAAGAAAACATTTTCACAAAATATTAAGCAGCACAACCATTTGAAACATTGATAATAATGAAGAAATGTTTCTTTAACAGCAAATCAGCATATTAGAATGATTTCTGAAGGATCGCGTGCCACTGAAGACTGGAGTAATGATGCTGAAAATTCTGCTTTGACATGACATAGGAATAAATTACATTTTAAAATACATTAATAAATTGATTAGTTTAAATGGTAATAATATTTATAATGCATAAAAATAGCACTATAATGCTATTTTTACTCTATTTTTGATCAAATTAATGCAGCCTTGCACGGTGAGGATAAGAGATATCTTTAAAAAAAACATAATAATTCCAAACTTTTGAACAGTGGTGTATTTCCGAAAAAAGAAAAATGAATCACCCTTAAGTTTTTTCTGAAAGAACCATCACCTGAGACTCCCAAACCTCAAAGTAAATGTTTGTGACTTCAGTTCTGTTTTCAGAGAACAGACAGGAGAAAGAATGAACATGTGGCATAAACAACAAGAGAAGAAGAGTAGGCCCTTGCCTCCAAATCTACTCAGCAAGCCTTCATAAGCCCTTCCTGTCTTTTTCATTCTCTACAAAGCAACTGTAAAGTCTGTATGTGTGCCGTCCACCTCCAGAGGGCTAAATTGCTCCCAATGACGGGTGTTATTCTGGGAGGCCGTCCTCTCTCCATGGCTCCATTCATCACACACACAGAGTACAGTGACCTAGCATCTTGGGCCAAGATTACACGCTCTAAAACCTTCCCTCAGCCCCGACACAAGCACAAGTGTGCAAAAGGCCAGAAAACTGTGGTTAATATACAAACTAAATGTACATCATGATGAAACCCATACCTTGAATGCACAAAATATGATTTTTGTGATATTTTTGATATTTTATGACTTATCTAGGTCTAGAAGTCACACTTATAAATTAGGAAATCTCACGTATATCCAGGTTTTTCTAGACGGTGAGGACAATGGTTCTTCAATGAAGAAAAAAAAAAGTTAATGAGGGGTGAATTAAAATAAGACAAAAAAAACAGTTTTGCTGTTTATTTTATTGTTCCCTTTTGTTTTATTTTAACTCAACACCCAGGAACCTGGTTGAGAACCACTAGTGTAAAATGTAGTGAATTAACTTGAAGTCATTTCTAAAACATGGTACTACTGAGCTTATTGTGAATTAGCAACTTGCTAACATATTATGGAAACTGGCAATAAAGGTCAATTCAGGGTCTGTTAATGTGTTTGAGAAAATAAATGACTACACATTGTAGGTTTTTCTTTAATAGCATAATTGCATAAGCGATAAAACCCCAGTATGACGCAGTCAGTAAGAATGTTTGTTTCATAATGAGGTGGATTTGAGTGGCATGTGATCTTTTGGATTGAGTCTAAAAAGCAATCAAAAGGAAATTAGGTAGAAGTTGGGTACAGAAACAGAATGAATAAGCAGCACTAAATTCAAAAGCATTTAAACAAGCAAGGTTTTGTTTCCAGACTGTTCAACCTGAACCAATTTTCTGGAAGCATATTAACTCTGCAGCTAATTGTTTGTACATTATCATCTGCACAATTTGAGGCGTATGTCTACAGAATGATTATGGAAATGAATGCAGATGCTGCCATATGAAAGGTCTGTCAATCAAACGTGACATTTGATGTGATGAGGCAGAGGGGTTCAAAACAGATGTTCTCTAATGAACCAAAGACAGTCTACCCTCTTCAAGACCATACTTAAACTGAGTACACTTGATCTGCAAGCCACACAGCCCCATCAGGCAAACAGAGAGTCCCACTCAATGTTGCGTAACTGGACATGGACATAGCTTTTCATTATATGGACAAAAAAATTTAAATATTTTCATACATATATTTATATGTACATTTATTTATTTATTTTGAGTGAACTATTCCTTTAAGGCTGCAGATACAAGCCCAACCAAGAGGATTCTGGGTAATAACAACACTGACATGGATCAGTTGAGTGTGTTGTTTTGTTTGATTGCTTAATGTAAGGCTGAAATGACAGAGCTGACAGGAACACCCCATGGACCTCTATTAGGACCCTTCGGGTTTCTCAGCAGTCAAAACCTCGTCATGCAGCATGAGTGCGTGTCGGACACTGAACTGATAACAACTGTAATGGGACCTCTCATGTTATTTATCTTGTCGTAGACAAATGAGCTCTGGAATGAGACATTTCTTTCCGCTGGGGGTGAACACCGATCATGCTCTCTGGTGCATGTAAGCAGTCAATTGAACATGCTACAATACATGAGGCTCTAAAAGTAAATGAATACAAACTGCTGACTCCTAAAAGCACAGAAACACTAAACTATGAGAACAAAAGTTAAATTATTTTTAAATTATAAAACTTTTAAATTATAAAAATTCTGTACAAAGTCCATCTAACCTTGTGTACACTTTAAAAGGTGGTCTAAGATAAGCTTTGTTTGAACTCTGCCACTGTTTGCAGATGGTATTATGGTATCTACCATATTTACAATGTACAAAATAAGGACTCAAACTAGACCATGCATTCAAACCAAATGTGAAAACAGCCTTAAAGTGCTCAAGGCTTGAATGTGAACCCAAAGTCCACAGTAGCTGAATGTCTTGAGCTAAACCAGTGGAGTGTTTCGCAGAGCAGGTGACCCTGGCATCTATTAGCTCATGTAAAGAGTTTATCTGTTAAGAGGCTCAATGTTACACAGAAGTGCAGCAAATCTCCACTAAGAGGAAGAGATCCATGTTAAAGTGAAAGTGCCTGACACACCTGATCCCAACATGAACTCACTAACATAGTGCTACGTGTCTTTAAATAGGCAAATCAATATGAATGTTGGGTAGGAGTTATTTGAATAGGGTGAGAACAAATCTGCTTGCTTGGAATAGTCCAATAGTTAGTTGGAATCCAAGTCCAAAGTGTGTTTTATCTTATATCAAAAGAAATGGAACAACAAAAAGGAACACCATTTCACTAAGGCCAAAACATTAACAAATACAGTAGCTAATGAAGCTTGATTTCATTCATCAATGCATTTTAAAATGTGTCTAAATGCAGTTCATTATGCAATGCAAGTCACATTCATTTATATAGTGCATTATACAATACAGATTGTTTTAAAGCAACCTCACGGTAATAAACAAGGAAATAAAAGTATTAATGTTGCAAGTTCTTCGATTATGAAACGAATACAATTTCAGCTGTAAAGCAGCTCTAAATAGACAACTGTTCATTATTCTGCTCGATTTAGTTCAATGTTGATTAAATTGAGCAAAGTTCTTAACTTAACTATAATTAAACTCAGTTTAATTATAAACAAGATGCCATTATTCATCAACATGTTTAGTTCAATGTTAATTCAGTTTAGCAAAGATTTATAGAGAAGATTTAAAGAGAAGTTATCAAGTGAACTCAATTCAACTACACAGAGGCTCTACAGAAAAGGTCATTATTCAGCACAAAAGAGTTCAATGTTGATTCAGTTTAGTTCAATAACAGTGTAAAGTTCATGAAAAAAAGCTTAATTCAGCTATAAGAAGCTTTACAGAAGACAACAGTCCTTATTCATCTCAAGTCAGTTCGGTTTCAGTTCAGATCAATCCAGTTCAATAATGAAGCTTATGCTTCAGAGATCAGCTATATTCAACGATTCACCTCTAAAGCAGCTCTACAGAAGACAATTGTGATTATCCAGCTCAATTTAGTTTAAGATTACGTGCAGTCAAACTGATAATATTACTGAATTTAAAAGTGTCTTTTAAACCTCAACTGTGCATGCCAAGAATGCAACAATGTTAAACACATTTTGAGGTGATGATATAATCAAAGAAATAAGACCAAAAGGTGTACTGTGGAAACATACTCTACACAAGAATATAAGCGCAGACGCTTCTAGCTACCTAATGGTGCTTTCTGAAATTGACAAAGCAAGTACACACTATATTCTTAACACTGCTGCAAGGGCTGCTTTAGTGCATTAACATAGTTAGTCTGAAATAGAAGACTATGATCAAAAGGCAAAATTTTTTAGGAGAATCTTGCTGAGCGAGTTGGTTAAACTGTCAACATGTTTATACTGAATAATAACACATCCAGTTTAGTGGCATAGGCATTTAAGGGTAACTACGGGCCCATTTACTACAGAGGTTTGTTACGGAAACAGAACTCATATTCAGTATATACAGTGGATAAGCACTTGTGAGCATTCATGCCTCATTTGCATAATTGCATAGAATATGTTTCAAGCCCAAGGCACATGGTGTTCATTAAATATCAGACAGATAAACAGGTGTCCTTTAAATATGGAAAGGGGAATTCAAGATTGGATAATAAAGTACAAAGCTTCCTTGACCTGAAAAATAAATAACTAGAGTGAAAGTCTACATACTGTAAGCATAAAATTAGCCCTTGTGCTTATGTTTTTATTGTCTGCTGTGCTTTTTTTCTTCCTTCTAGGTCAGACAAAATGTCCTTCCGATCTCCTTTGCATCAGGCCAATAAATATATTTCAGTCTGAAAAGTCTTGCTTAGAAATCCTGACGGAATAAACTCAGAAAGAGTATGAAAGTATTTGGAGACAGCAGGTGCAGACCCCCTAGAAAGCTAAGCCACTCACTCGCTCTCAGTAGAAGAGGAAAAGGAAATGGATTTTCATACCTTTGAAATGTTGCTGGACCTGCTTGCAGAATGACCAAGCGGTTTCTCATTCTGTGGAAGAGAGAAAAGGGGAGAAAAAGTTTGAGAACAGTGCTTATCACTCAGTTCAACAGAAACTAAAAGAACAGGTACAAAGTCTTACGGAACTGACTGCTAAAAGTCTTTTAATAACACCGCAAACATCAGAAACCTCTCAAAAGATGAAGAGCAGCTACATGGAAAGCAAAATTAGACATTTTTTTGTGATTTAACTACATGACTGCGTTAATTAATGGCTTTTATGCTCAATATTTCTCAACTGGTTAATTCCACCCTTAAGCATTGAGAAGGGATGTCTTTTTCCTGCTGTGATATTATTTATAGGTCAGTTATGATTGTAATGTAAGAGGGTTGCTATATTACCAGCTGGTTCTGAGACACTGAAGAAAGGCAGAGAAAGGCTTCTAATAGTAATAAGCTGATTAAATGGATAATATCTCCCAATTTTGGGATGCTTGTTCATTTAACAGAAGAAGGCCTAGTTTTTCTACAACTGCCTCGTCAATGGATGGTAAGCAATTTAACATAAGTTGGGATGATGCTCTTTTATTTCCCTTGTACATCCCTTCTTCAGGTGGCAAAATTTTGGTTACTCTTTACCTGGTTGAAGTCAGTTAAAAATAGACTGAAAGTTCTAGATTGTAAGACTATCTAGAAAAAGGGGCTCACTGAAAAAGACTGGCTGACTGAATGCATGCCTACACAATTTCATTTACGAGAATCAAACAGAAAACTGGAATCCGGATGTATACATACACATCTATTTCAGCCCATTATTTTAATTACAAATATCTGTCTATATCTTTAACAACCTCCCTCTCTCTATCCATATATCATTTTATATATTTGAATAAACAGTTAAAATAACATTTATTTGAAATATAAATCTTTTGTAACATTATAAAATGTCTTTACTATTACTTTTTATCCAATTAATGTATCCTTGCTTAATAAAAGTTTCAATGTCTTTATAAATAAATTAATCCAAATGTTTGAATGGTATACATTTTTTCTATATGCAGTCATGATCATTTTGAGTCACTTTCGGTCACTTTATTTTAAGGTCCAATTCTCGCCATTAACAAACCATTAACTGACTTTTTCCTCAATAAACTGCTAATTTGATGCTTATTAATAGTTAGTAAGGAAGTTGTTAAGTTTAGGTATTGGATAGGATTGGGAATGTAGAATATGGTCAAGCAGAATAAATGCTTTATAAGTACTAATAAACAGCCAATATGTTATTAATAGGCATGCTAATAATAAACTAATTAATACTGAGAATTAGTCCCTATACTAAAGTGTTACCTTATGTTTTTCACATGTAAAGTATCAGATCTTATTTTTCCTTTTCCCGTTTCATTTTTTGTGTCCAAATATGATTCAGTTGTGTTCTTTCTTGATAGGCTTCATGAGAGTCACCCAAACAAAGTCTTCTTACAACCTTTCATCATTTAGAATGGCAAAAAAAAAAAAGCTACAACACTTCAAAACCTCAAAACAACCAGCAACATTACATTTGGAACAAAAGACAACTAGCGCACACTCCTTTAGCATTTTCAGTCCTGTGTGAATTATGAGACAGAAACGGTACTAATATCAGTGCTTGGCAGAGAAAAGCTCTGCAACAAAGAGCCCTTTGGCACAATGTGCCATGATTAGCGAGTGGGTGAGTGTGTGAAAGTGTGTTTCATTGTTTTTCCTCTGAACTGAACTGTAATGGTGAGGACCCAATAAGTGTGAGAGCATGTGCAGCAACAGAAGGACATACTCTTTATCTTTAATCATTCCTGTGCTTTTTACTCATGTCTCCAGCCCTGTGCTGTTACCATGGAGATGGCAACGGAGGGGACCGAGTGCTAAATCCCTGCTGGTTACTGTCTTTCTGTTATTAAGGGGAATTTCAGCCATGCTACACATCAAAACAGTTCATCCAGTCACTTTCTGTACTGCACACACTCGAGGTGATGGCCAGTTTCAGTCGAATAAAAGGTCAAAACGAGTCACTCGGTAGAGCACACATGATTAGCTGCTCATATAAAATTAAGCAACATCATAAATGTCTAAAGATTTTAATGCAATTTTTATTGGGCAATTACATTTTCTAAAGTCTCATGAAATTAGTTTCATGATCCTTCCTTGTCTCATGAATACAAAAATTCAATTGCGGAAACAGCAGGTCTGACAAGTTTCATTTTTTCCATGAATCTGTATGAAATGGCTGTTTAAGCGAATCTATTCAAAGTTCTGATCAAAATATGTTCATGCCATTTTTCATATGATAAAATGCTTTAGTAAAAATACATCGGGGTCCAAAAGTCTAAGACCACACAGAAATCTGGATATCATCACAAATGAAGGATATAATTTCGGTAAACCTGGAAATAACATTTTGGGATTTTAACATTAAACACGCCTTATTTAATATTATTTCTTTTTTTGCACCACACAATTTTAGTGTACCTGTATATGTGTGTTGTTATATATTATATATACACACATATATTATACACATATATACATATATATATATATATATATATATATACATACACACACACACACCACACACACACACACACACACACACACACACACACAGCTGTTCAAAGTTTGGGATCAGCAATTTTTTTTTAAGAATTTAATTAAATGAATACTTTTATTCAGCAAGGATGTGTTAAATTTACAGAAGTGAAAGACATTGTTAGAAAAGATTAATGTGTCAATGACTACATTCATTGCAAACTCAAAAATTATAAGATTTAAAATAGTCTTAACAATACTTTAATAAATTGCACATACAAATTTTACAAACAAAAACAACATTTATATAAAATCTTTCAAACTCATATTTTTAGTAAAAAAAACTAAGTCAATTTCTGTACTTTGAGTAAACTGGGGGTTTTTTTGGGGGGGGGGGGGTACATTCAAGGAATACATACATAAGTGTTACAAGTCAGGTCAAAGTTCATCATGGAGACATCATCTTATCTCTCTTACAGCAGGCCTCATGTGTTTGTCTCTTATCGCTCACTGTGACACATCACACTGTCAAACCTCACACTAGGTGACCTGGTTTTGCCCACAGTACATCACTCTTAAAACATGCTCTGGAATACGACTGTTGTTCATATACATACCAGGCATTTTAAAATTAAGATGGTTTAAAGGAAAAAGCCATTTCAAAATGCCCATCAGAAATTATTACACTTAAAGGGTGTACAGATGAAAACCTGTACACTTTAAGTGTAATAATTTCTGATGGACATTTTGAAACGGCTTTTTCCTTTAAACCATCTTAATTTTAAAAACTTTTCATGTGTCATACACAAGAAAAACATCTGAAGAACACATAACCTCACTCTACAGATATAGCTGCTGAGAAATGACTCAATGTGAAGGTAATTTTAAAGGAATAGTTTGACGTCAGTGATGATTGATCATTTGAGAACTAATGATGCTTTATGTCACTGACGTCAAACCTGATGAGGTGCATCTAACAACACCACATTTGATTTGAGATCCTTCAGAAATTTACCTTGTGTGCTCTACTGGAAAAACAAAGTTATATGGGTTTGTAATGACATGAGGGGCAGTAAATTACACAATTTTATTAAATTTTTGGGTGAACAATTGATCGATTGTTTTTATTGCAGTGACAACACAATTTGCCTTGCATGGATGATTTGTAGCGTTGGAAAGGGTGGAAATAAGAAACATTGAGATAAAGTCAGTATTAGTTGTTCAGACAGAAAACAGGCTGTTTTCCGGCCCCACTGTAGACAGACAAGAGTCCTACAATTACACACTATAGAGGAAGCGTCTTTTGCAGAAGAACATTGACTACCAGACACAAGTTGTCTTCTGTACATGTAGTTTTGCAACAAATGCTTTTGATGTTTCGCTGTACACAACATAACATGGCCAGCACATGATTAAAAAAAACAAACTTTTTTTTGTTGAACTGGCAAAAGGTCACCAAATGCAGTCTGAAATCCAGCCCATAGTGATTGTGGCTGAATATTTACAAGTACTTCAGGTGTGCGGCTGTGTAAACAGCAGCAGCAGAAATTAAGTGCTAATACATTGTTGTTATGGATCTGCAGGCTTTATCAAGTGTGTGGGCAGATCCAGAATAATGAGCCAGACTCCAAGGCTGCCATGAGTGCATGGATAATATAATGAGATGACAAATGCATGCCTGGTGCTTGAATGTAATCTGACAGGGACGATTAGAGGAGAAAACAGCACAGTGAAGTTTGAGGTATATACAAATCACTCAGTGTGCTCAAATAACGTGCCCCCCTCTATCACAATGAGCGCATGTTAACATAAACCTCTGATAACACCATCAAGCTTTAAAAAAAAAAAAAAAAAAAGAGTGCAGGCACAGAGAACATGGCAGCTGTCTTTGTGGCTTCTGTCTGCTCCCATCACGCTGTGAGCTTCCTGAATAAATTATTCCTCTTTCTGCTCTCAGACTACACTGATTCAGGTTTAGTTTGGAATCTTCCTGTTCCATTTAGTCTCACGGTTGTATCACGTGAGCTATAGACACCTGCCATTCACTCTCTTCCCCTCGCCAAAGATTTTTAGTCTTTTACCTGGGAATGCAGGATGTTTCTGCCTTTGTTGATACTTAGTACTCTCTCTGCTATATTTGACACTTCTCGATTGGCCTACATGTAAAGCAATAAACCACAATTACTTGAGAATAGGGCAGGAGAAACTGAAACTGGACAGAACAATGTAGAATATATAGGTGTGATCAATGATTTATTTATTTTCTGCTAAATAAATGTCTCAAACTAAAAATTCTTGAAAGCTCGAATGGACATTTTGACATATCTAGAGAATAGTTCAGCTCGGTTCATTGTAAGTGTAGGAACATGTACAAAAAAAAGTGTTAAAAAAATTGACTGGTTAGAAATCACAATATTAATAGCAAATCTTTTATTTTATTCACTACTTTATTTTGGTTTTAGTACAACTTTAGAACTATTTCTCGGGTT